ACAACGTCGTTGCCAAGCGACGAAAACCCAACCCCGATGGCAAACACCGGGGGGGGGGGGGGGGTGTAATATGTTGATGTTGATGTTGATGTTTATCATGCAATCAAATCAACGCTCGCACGGAGTAGTGGTTTTTCTGTCAGTATTGTCAGTACATGTACTGTACTAAGCGTTTAGTATGGCTCTCCATACTGTACTCAATGTGGCGTTCAGTATGGCTCTCCATACTGTACTCAACGTACTGTGGCGTTTAGTACAGCTCTTCATACTGTACTAAACGTACTGTGGCGTTTAGTACAGCTTTTCGTACTCTACTAAGAATACTGTGGCGTTTAGTACAGCTCTTCGTACTATACTAAAATTTTTGTGGCTCTTCAATACTCTACTAAACATTTTTTTGAGTATAGTACGGCTTTTCATACTCTACTCATACTCACATTTTAGTATGGCTCTTCATACTCTACTCAACGTACTCTTGCGGTTTAGTACGGCTTTTCATACTCTACTAAACATACTCTTTGAGTTCAGTACCTGACCTCTGTACTCTACTCAGGTGAGTAGAGTATTCACCTCTCTCATACTCTACTCTACTCAGCCGTTAGTACAGGTTCTCCATACTCTACTAAACATACTATACTATACTAAACATTCCCGTGATGATTTTCTGTCCAAATGACGGGAAATGTGTTGCGGAGGTGGCCCAACCTTGCTTGTCGTTAATTATCACTTTCCATGGAAACACCGTTTCTGTCCTCCAAGCACAGCCAAGGTGTCGCGCTCATGCAACCCGCACGTCTCAATCCACCGTATGGCAAAAAGAAAACTAAACGCTCGGTCTGAGAGTAAGTAACGGACTCTGCGTTACATACGCACCGCGCCAAGTGCCCGCGGTCCTCCTGCTTCCCCAACCCAAGCGCGAAGATCCTCCAGCACCTCTTCCGCTCCCTGCTCGTCAAGACCCGACGAAGAACATCAGCAGGGGCACGGTGTAAAAAAAAAAAAAAAAGAGGGTGTCACGCTCATTAACGGCCGACATCGTAGTGTACCTTCTCGTGCACTCAAGAGCAACAGCAGTGAGAGGCGCCCAGTGGAATCATGAAAACAAGTTTACGCTGAATCCTGTGTGGGCCGGAAGGTTCAGGTGCGTTGTGAAAAAATAAATACCCGGCAGGGCCATTTATCTTGCATGCAACAGCACGCCGCGAAGCTTGTTTATCTTTTTCGGGTGTTTGGTTTTGCGCCTCTTGAAAACGAATCGCTTGCCTGCTCGAGCCCATCCGCTGCTTTATCTCTCGAGGGCACTCGACATGTATGAGGACACCAAAGTTTTTACACCGCCAGCCAAATCCTCACCCATCCACTCACAGTTCCCACCCCGTGACCTCCACCTCCCCCCTTTCAAATCCATGAATGCACGCACACAGCAAAAAAACTGAAAGTCCAGAAACGCACCGGCACAAGCTCCCACGCAGTCGTGCTGGTGAACACATCGTGAAACAGTCGATCGAAGACGTCATCGAATACACGACCGCCTCTAGCGCCGCCGCCGCCGCCCCCGCCACCACCTCGGTCCCCTTCCTGGCTAATCCCGAGGGTCTCGTCCGAGACCCCAGCCCCTCGAAATGTCGCCATCACGACCTCCGCCCACCAGTCCTCGGAGGACATCACCCCCGTGCCGAAGCACGGCAGCTCCTTCGACCTCCGCTTGAGCGACGCCCGGAAGGAATTCAAGAGGTCCTGCTCGGAAACCTTGTCGGGAAGCCCACCCTCCGAGACGCCCAGGCGGTCTTCCAGGACGCCCAGGTAGAGCCTGCCACGGCACCGGGGGGCCGCACGTTAGAGTTGAGACGCGAGAGCTCTGTTGCGGGTCGGTCGCCGAAACATGAAAAGGAAATGGGACCCGAACCCCGAGCCTATACTTCTGTTAGTAGCACACCCTACACGTGTGCTGGGGGCAGGAACGCAGTGTATTGTTGTGCATGGATACACGTAGCGCGACCGAGGAGGAATGAGCCGGCCGAAACCGCAAGGTTGATGTCCGGGCAAACGGTCTTTGAAAGAAGGTTTGACTGAGGGGAAGCGAGCCGGCTGGGCATGGGGTAGACTTCGAAGCACGCCATCACCGTAGACAAACGTAGGTTGCATACGATATCACACGTACACAAGATACCCACACATGCTTCGAAAAATCACACAAAGCACACACGTGTGCTATTGTATTTAGCCCTGAAAAAACGTTATTATATCACACGGTGACAAATGTAAGATACCACACCCCCTAAGGTTGAGCTGCACACTGTCGACGGGGTCCCCGCTTATCACATGGTGCGACAACGTGACAACACGTGATAACAAGCACACAAGCGAAGCGACCTGCGCGTGACAACACGTGATCACAAGAACACAAGCGAACCGACCTGCGCGCAAACGCCATGGAGGCCGACAATACCATGGAAGGCGTTGCAGTTAACTACCCTGCTGAAAGCCCCGCCGCAGGGAAACGTGTGCCCCTGCTGGGACGACTCCCCCAGGAGCCGTACACGACACCATATGTGCTGCTGAGGCCCGCACAACATAATCTGCAGCTAACCCCGCTTTATCCCTTTCATCACACTCTATACCCGGGTTCCTGCTTTGAGCGCAGTTCATCATACGGGCGACGTAATCATACGCCATCATTGTTGCACCCCCTCTAGGCCGGGTCATGTGAGAGCGCTTCATCATTCGGGCGACGTCATCACACCCCATTGTTATCGCACCCCCTATAGACGGGGTGCTATGAGCGCACTTTTATGACATAGATATCACACCCCCTACAGAATACCATGGTACATTTGGTACCCAAAAACACACGGGTAACAGCATATTGGTGAAATTAAGAGCGAAGCATGTAATTGAGAGCGAGATTGCGCGATGCGCTGCAGCTGGACTACTGCTGAGAGGTGGAGCTTGCTGTGTAGCTTGAATTGAAGGGCCAGCCCGTTGCTACAAGCAGATACCCTGGTCATCCTGTGGGAGTCTCTCGATGTGGAGTTACAGCGGCGAGCAGAAGCTACAGCAGAGCCCACCGCCCGAGGCCACACCGCCCTGCAACAGTTTGAGGCAGGAATAGCCAATCTGGGGAAATCTAGCAACTTGTCTAGCTCCTAGCTGCAGCATCCGACGACGATGACACGCATATGTTCGTTACGCTGCTGATGAGACCTTCAATTTGCGCCGCTTCTCGGAAGAGCCCGCCCCCTACTTCCCAAGAAATGGCAAGAGGCGTCTGGACCCGATTTTTCGATTTTTTGGCTCTCGCTCTCAATTTCATGCTTCGCTCTCAATTTCACCAATATGCTGTTGGGTGTGGTATCTAATGCAACCAAGGGTAAGTGGGCGGGAAAAAAAATACTCACGACATCGCAAAACGAAACACAAACGCCAGCACCGCTCAGCAGAAAAACGCAGTACATGTATGATAGGCCTTTTAGACTACAGTACTGGTCCCGATATAATGCCGGTGCGGCCCAGCCGAGTTCACCGGCATCATAGCTGGCCACCGGCAATATATAAATTCGGCCTGAAGAATGCCATTTCCGGCACTATCCAGGAAATATCGAGTTGTTCAGCACGAAAACGTGAACACATCGCCAGCATAGTGTACATACACACGCATCATGAGATGGGAAAGAAAGTGGATGCCGTGTGAGAAGGTTTAGTAAGCATGCCGCGGCCGAGCATCATTCAGAGGCGCGTGCATCGATGGGCCGTACTTCATCACTCGAATGCATCTGTGGGTCTGCTACTCTCTTTTGTGGTATGCACAGCAACGTCTGTGCACAAACTCTTCCTGACGCCTCAAGTCGGCATTCTGACCCGATGTCATCCCTTGACTCGCAAAGCACACGTGTGCACAAGATGTATCGTAACGCAAACACCAAAAAAAAAGAAAAGAAAAAAACAAGAAGATCTGAACACGCTGTACATTTTAAGCAACATATGCATACTCTGGAGTACAAACCATCTGAGTGCACCGATGTATTTCTCGAACTGGTCCCGCCTATGTTACATGCGCCCCCCAATTAGAATATGACACAGGAGAACCCAAAAAAAAACATCGGACTGCATGTAGTGATGTTCCACGTAGGTGTGGTGGTATCAGGTCCGACACATACACCATTGTTGGGACAATGCCCCTTACCTGCTGAAGGAACAACATGATCGCGCACCGTTCAGTACTGCTTCTAAACAAAGTTTAGCCTACGCAACATTGATCTGCGGCAACCTTTTCCATCAGATACTACACTGTCAAGGAAGCCCCTCATGTCTGTCTGTCGGGCTGGCATAGGGTTAGGTTTAGGCGTGTATGAAAACCGTCAGAGGGTTTTGGCGTGGAGTTAGGCATCGTGCACATCCTGCCCGCAGAACAAGGCATAGTGTGCCCCTTCTGATGGCGCGGAGCATAGGAGCACAGCTGGTGGGCCCGAAATGGTGTGTGTTGTGTGTGCGCTGCGAACGTGAGCAAAGTTTTTTCTTGAGAGCCGGCATTGTTCACGTACCAGAGGACCCCCGAACCGGCATTATAGTGCCTCTACTGTATTGTGCCTGTATGCCTTAAGCCTTACCGGCAGTACCGGGTTCATGCGGTCCAGCCGATTTCACTCGTTGTTAGTAAATCATAGTCGACTTCGTAAGTCGCGAGGGAAGGGATTGCTGTACCCGTCTCGCGATAAAAATACCTCAGGCAGGAACCGCAGGAGGGGGTCCAGCCCCCCCTCCTATGTGACCCCGGTTGGGTCGTCTAGCTGGTAGAAGTGGAGGATACGGGCCAGAGGAGCAGTCGACAGAGTCCAATGATGGGAGAAGAAACAACAAACAAACTAGCAATTTCACCGGCATTATACCGGGCGACCGGCATTATTCGACCGGTATTATACCGGGACCACTACTGTACAGCTGTAGTCTACTGTAGTAGACGGATAGTTTATTCAAGACAGTGGGCGACGTTGTAGTGCAGCTGTACTCTACTGTTGTCGTACATACACAAGACAGCACGTTGCGCATTGTTACCGGAAGAACAGTTGGAACAGTTACGGGGGGGGTTCAGAAGACGAAAACGGTGTGAAATTTTGAAAATTGTAGACATACATTGTAGACATACCTATATGCTGTCTAGGAAATCGTAGACATACAGGTAGTTTTCTCTGACCCTATGATTCCATTGTTAATCTGTCTCTGACTTTTTTCTATGATAGAGATGGCACATCAGCCGCACATACTCCGCACATATGCATACCAAACTGAGAATATGTTTGTAAACTGATGGAGATTGCATGTGTTAGAACTAATAGGGTGCGACACACAAAACGCCCGACTACCCAACAGTACCCAACACCTTTCGTCTGCACCTTCCCAACATAACATATATGAGACACACAAGACAGCTACCAAACTGATTTGTTGAGCCTGTTACCCACAGGGGAGATGTCCCTATATGCTGTCTGGGAAATCGTAGACACACAGGTAGTTTTCTCTGACGCTATGGTTCCATTGTTAATCTGTCTCTGACTCTTTTCTATGATAGAGATGGACTCGTTGTGTCATATTAAGAAAAAAAAAAATAAGAAAATTGGTTCGGGGATCTGTTAGTAAAGGCTTACCCATTAGACTACTAAGTCAGCGCTGACCGAGTAGTCTAATGTGATCGGCGAGCAATTCATGCGGGATTCATTGTGGATAGCGCTGTCACGCACCTTGGCATCGAGCCCTTTATCCGCATGATGGTGCCCGTGCAATCTAGACATACCACATCCGGGCCTGCGCGCATCGTCAAAAGTCGCCTGGTTGAAGGCGGCGGGGTGATAACGGGCAGATGGGACCATTTCACAGCTGAAGACGCGGACGCTAGGCGAGAACCCAGCATGAGCACGCCCGGGGCTATTGATACGACTCCGGCCAAAACTATTCAGTAGGGAATGCCTGCGAGAGAGGGGGAGGGAAAGTCGAAGGTTCTTGTATCTTCACCTGCCACGCTCGACGCAATCACAGCTCACAGCCTAGAGCAGCAGGCCCAGCACAGGAGCGGGGGAGAACCAATCCGCCTCCCGACGAACTGGAAACCTGTCGATTCTTTTTTTTTCAGAGGAAGCGGTCGTGGTCCTGGGTCGGAGGTCGATCTTTGCCATAGTGTCTCGCTAACTTCAGCTACGCCTTGGCGCGCTTGACTTCTCCCCTCGCTCTTTTATCTTGACCGGTCACCATGCCTCGAAGAAATCAACCGCAGGCCCTTTTGCCGCAGCAAGCCGAAGCGAACGTCAGATCCACAACGATCTTTCCAGGAGGTATGGGCAGTATACCCGTCCACTGTACGTCATCTGCAGAGACAGTCATGCTTTGCGCACCACACCAAATCACACCCGGCGTGCGGCGGCAAATGAAATCATTTTCATGTGATATCCTCCTACAAAGTTGGTGTACTGCAGCGTTCCGTGTTGTAACAATAGAAGTTCGTCCGCTGCATGCCATTTTCGGCCCAATTTTCCTTGGCCATGGGCACCAAGAATATCTTGGTCCACCAAACAAGCACACGCAGCCACAGCCGATTCAAACGGTCCCTAAATGCACCACCACCGTGCGCATGGTCCTCTTACGTAAACAGGACTCCTCGCTGGTACATGTGCCTTTGGGGTGTACCTGGCGACGGTTGCTCCCGGGATACCTGGCGGCGATGCCGGCGAGCTGGTGGCCGAGTCCTGCCACCTCGGCACAGCTCATCCCCCAGGCTACCCGCTGTTCACGCTCCTGAACCACATGACCACCCGCGGTCTTCCGATTCTGTTGGAATATGTAGGCTTTAGCTCGGGCACGGAGGCAGACGGGGGGGCGTCGCCCGCGTGGTACGCGAATGCAACTGCTTCGATGATGGGGGCTCTTGCCGTCCTATTCACAGCGCAGACAACGCTTTTGCTACTTGACCCACGTTGGGGGTGGAGATATGGTGAAAGCACAGATTACCGTCAGCAGCAGCAGCAGCAGCAGCAGCAGACGGCAGGAGAAACTGTATCGAAAAGTACCCTCTTCAAGTGCGTCAGTACGTGCCTCCGCGATCGGTTGTGGTGGCGAAAGAGTGGAGATGGTGCAACAACAGTACTGCTGCGGGAGCTCGCATCAGGGTGTGCGGCGTTACTTTTGGCGTTCTCCCCGCTGACCTGGCAGTACTCCGTCACTGCTGAGGTATTCGCGCTCAACAACTTCCTTCTCTCAATCCTGTGCTCGCTTGTTGTGCGATTCTCGCTTCGCCGGGAGCTTGCAACCGCCACGGGAGGAGCGCTCGTGAGCGGGCTCGCCCTCAGCAACCAGCACACTGCGGTGTTGTATGTAGCCCCGCTGGCTGCCTGGGTCATGCTCCAGCTCGTCACCTCGCGCTGCCGCCAATACCACTCCACTCATCAACAACGACAGCAACAGGGGCACCCGCAACAGAAGCGGCAGCTGAACCCTTGGCGCCGCCTCTCCTTAGAGACTATTTTACTTGCAGTCGTGTTTCTGCTCGGCCTTGCACCGTACGCTTTTCTGCCCTTGGCCGCGAAGCGCGCGCCCAAGCGCGGATCGTGGGGCAACGTTACCACGTGGAGTGGCTTTCTGCATCATATTCGTCGTGGCGATTACGGGTCTCTGCGGCTTTACTCTGGCAAGGCCGGGGGCAGTAGCGGGAAGGGCCTTGGCCGGGACTGCGCGGAGCGCCTTTTGAGTTGGTTTGACGACCTGTCGTCAGTGCAGGGACTCGGCGGGGTGGTTCCGGCTCTGGCAGTGCTCGGGATGCTGTCTCTGTTAGTTTTCATACCGTCGAAAGAAAGAGGACGTGAAGGAGAGGGGAGAATGCGTATCGACATTGTATCAGGGACGACGTCTTCGAAGGGTCCCATGATGGAGTTCTTCTCTGGAGCTCTAGTGGCACCGTCGTCCGGTAGCCGCACGGGCTGCAGTGAGCTGGCGTCGTCACTATCGTGCAGGACAAAGAAGGGAATCCGTCGTCGCTCGAAGAAGACTAGTTGCGCGGCGTCACCACGTCCCGCACCGACAGCGGGTACGAGATGTAAAGACGAGACAGAGCGAGGGAGTTCAACAGGGTCAACCTGGAAATCGACGGGCAGCAAGGAGCAGCATCAGCAGAATACGGCAAAACAAAACGAGTCGCCAATGTCGAGGACGGCCACACCGTGTTCTACCGCAGTTCGGGTCCTGGCATCGTGGGACGACACGGGATTCAGCGCTCCGGCAGCACTGTTGGCGGCCCTAGTCTTGTACTTGGTCGTGTTCCACTGGTTGTCGAATATGCCACTTGATGACCCACTCCTCTTCGGAGTCCACGCTCGCTTCTGGATGCAGCCCAACATCGTGGTGTTCGTTTTCTGCGGAGTCGGCATGTACCAGACGTTCGATCTCATCAGGTCAGCCAGAGTCTACGTGATGATGTACGAAGACGAAGCAGTACTAGCGAATGTTCATCACAGGCTGAAAACAGAAAGTTGAGGGGGCGAAACATATGGGGTGTTTGGCGGTCATGTTTCATCTGAGGGTTGTTTTGTGTGCCCGGTGTCTCTCCATTGCCTGCTTTCTGTCTCGTCGCATTCATTGGTATACTCCATGAACCCGCGAACCTACAGCATGAGCCGACAGATGGGCACGGCGCTACAGTGTACTTCGCATATTGTTTCATTACCATCTTCGCTTGCTTGAAACGCAACACGTCAAAGTATGCCACCAACAAACGAGCCGTTACGCGCTGCTCACTGCCAACAGACGGTGGTTGGGCCAAGGAATCGGAGCTATATTGGCGGCCATGGCGTGCGTCGGGCTTGTTCGTGCACAGCTAGCCAGGGGCTACGCGGCGGGAGACCAGCGCGGCGCCACCCACTTCAGCAGTTACGCGAGGGCGGTGCTCGGCCCACTGCCACCGAGGTCGATATTTCTCATCAACAACGACCAGATGGTGAGGGAAAGGATATCCTTCGGCAAAGCGATGGTGACTCACTTGCTTCGCGGAGTGACTTTATGAGGAGTACGCGTCCATAGCAGAGTGTGGCACTGGCCATCACGACGGTTTGCATTGCCGGGCCGAAAAACTCTAATGTTCCTTTGGGGCTTAATTCACCGGAGCCACCGAGACGTGTGACTTTTCTATCGAATCTGGCAGGGTTCGTATCGCTGAGCACGGTGGACTCCCTTCTTCTGATGCAGGAATGATACTGTGCTCGCTGAGTCAGCTACAACATGCCAGGATTTTTCCCTGGGTGTACCGCAATCTTTTTGTTTCTTTCGTTGGCGGTAAGAAGTCTCTCAAGAGACGCATCGGACTCTCGTGGGAGGGCATTGATGAGCTCGCTTGCGTTGTTTACTTTGTTTCCCAACGCGTGCCTGCGTAATGGCCTCACTTTGTGGATTGAAGTGGACATCCACGAGGTACATGCAGGTTTGCGAGGGGTTCCGACAGGACGTCAGTCTCTTAAACATGGCTATGATGACCTTCCTGTGGTGGGACGTGAAGAGGGACTTATATCCTCAGGTGAAAGATTCAGCCAACGAAATACACGAAAGCGGTGTCCTTCCCCCGGCTCCCCGTCGTTCTAAGGGCATCTTCGTTCGCTGTATATTTGGGGCTGCAGTACCCAGCGCGCTAGTCGCGCGTAGGCATGTTCTTCGTGCATTGAAAACGACGCGTCTCTTCGGCCGTCGGGTACCATCTCTACTCTGCAAAGTTGCATCAGTGCGAGTTTGGGACTCCAGAAACAAAGCACCTGTGCATGATTCTTTTTTGGTATTCGTACGCTCGTTTCTTTCGTACACACAGATAAAATTTCCCGGCGAAAGATACGCGGCCGCCGGTGCCACCCATGACAAAGCTAGTGGCGGTGGCGGTTTCACCTTGCTCGAGTTTCTCGACGCAAATTTCGACCGTGCCTCGGGCAATATATTCATGGTAGGGAGGCCCAACTTTCCCGAGCCATCCATGGACGCCGCATACGACTTCGTTCCAGTGGGGCTGGCGAGGAGGGTGGTACGCCGCCTCAACTCGGCGCCGCTTCCGACGGCACTATGGGTTTGTCACTCCTCCAAGGCCTGGGAGACAGTGGCGGCAGAATTTCGGGCGGTCGCAACCGTCGGAGACACTTACGGTAGCAACAGCAACGGGGTCTGGGGCTTGATTGCTTCGCTGGTAGACCGCCGCCGCCGTGGAGGCAGCCGCCGTGCCACAGCTGCCAGCACTACCGAAAACAACGAAGGTAGCGAGGACCGAAGCCTGTCGCTGCCCCCGCGGGACAAATACGGGCCGGAATGGTGGGAGAGCACCCTGAGAATAATTGTGTACGACGCGGCCGCGGAGACGGCCGCGTACGGCCTGGAGCGAGCTCTGGCGGTGCCAGATGAGGAGCGGGGGCCGTTCGAGCGGGATATGATGGTCACAGCCGTTCTGTACCTAGAAGCGGTGCTGCGGAGCTACAACGGAATGTGGGTGGGGCGTGCTTGTTTTTGTTTTTGTGCCTCGCCTTTTTATCTTATTTCGTCGGATATCTTCGGGTTAATTCAAGTAGAAAAATCAACGTCGGCTTCTCAGCTACGTGTGTGAGTTCTTGACCGGGGGGGCGCTAGAGCCCTACCACGTATGGGACGTAGCTGGAACAAGGACACTCGGAGCATGAGTGTAAAGTTCGGGAGGCTTCGCAGTTTCCTGTCAAGCACTATCGTGTGTTTCGCCGTGTCCGACCCTGTAACCCACTATTACAGCTCAGTGTTGACCATCTCCCCATCTCCCGCTTGCCCCACACCGGTATCATTGACAAATCCAAAGCAGGCCTCCGCAGGCCTCGGTTTTAAAGAACGCGGGTCTCGCCTACCTTAACCTTGTCAGACTTTCCCGGCAACAGAGCGTCGAGCGCGAGGGGGGCGACGAGGACGTATTGATTACTCCCCCCGATCCGCTAGGGGCAACCCCGCTATTGCCGTGGAAGACCGAGACTGTCGCAGCAGGTGCCATCTCCCGTCATGACCAACGTCGGCCGCAGCAAAAATACGCATTAAACAATGACCACGACAAGACCGACGGTGAGTGTCCAGCACTATATGGAGGACAGAGTGGCTTCGGCAAAAATGCCGGCGGAGGAAGAACGGGAGGGGGAGGGGATTCGAAAAGTACCTTCTCTACTACCGCCGCGGCATCGTTGGAGGCCGAGCAGACCAGTGGGCTGGCAAGGAGCAAGAACCACCACATCAGCAGCAGCATCAGCAGCAGCAGCCGGGCTGTCGGAGACTGGAGGAACGAAGCGTCAACGCGGTTCATGGTCATGTGGAAAGAGTTTCTCGAGCACGAGAAGGCCCCCCTCGACAACCAGTACGACACCGTTCGCGACATTTACCAGCAGCTGGTTGGACGGTTCGGTGTCGGTGTGCAGGCAGCAACAACCCGAAACGCAGGCCACGGCATGGGGTGAAGGTCGTTGAGGCGAGATATTTGGTGGTCATGAGTGGTGAATGGTGACCAATATGAAGCTACACCCATTTGATCCATATTTTTGTGATGATGACGACCCGGCTGGATTTCATGGGGACCGAAAAGGACACAAGAGTGCACTTGTGTTCAGCAGGAGCTGATCGACTGTCGGGTTGGGCACGGCGCGACATCAATGTTGTCAGGGGTGAGAAGGGTAGTGGGTGTATGACAGGAGAGATGCATCTGAGGTGCGCGCACGGTCTTTGGTAGGTCCACTGTGTCTCGCAGCGGTGTGTTATTTGGCGGCCGTCCCACTTGTGAGCGTACAAACTGTGACGTTCATTAAAACTGAGATCAACAAGCCGCTGTTATTGCAGGAGGTCTCGGGGGCAACGTGTGTCATGTGTCTACACACGAGCCTTTGTGGGGCCAGGATTTACTTGTGGCAACGCCCACCTCAAGGCGGTATCGACCGCAAACACAAGGCCAACGCATGTCACGAGGACCAACAAAGACGTCTTGTGGTTGAGATAAGGATACACTTCGATCCGGCAATTTCCAGGAAGCTTCAAGACCTAGACTACACCAGATCGCACCAAACGTTTAAATTCAGCGCGTTCACCACCTCATATATCCTGTATTCCCCCCCCCCTCTCGCGGCCCAGGCTGGTTGAGATTTCACACCAACGCACACCCAAGAGTAGAGAAGAAGTCAAAAATTACTTCCTACGGTTGCTCTACTGCTGACAACACTTCAGTATTTGCCAAAGGACGCATTCACTCACACTGGAGAGCTCTGATGCCAGCGCTAGCTCGACCCTCTTGCAAATAAATCGCCACCTTTCTTGACATGTACCGCCCCCCCTTTCCTTCGCTCCTCGCTCCCCAACCACTGCTGGTGAGCACCACATACAAGTGCAGAATCGAGCAGCGGCAAGGTGCTATTTCACTCCGTGCAGCTCCACCCACGCACACCTAATGTTCCCTCCCCCTCCTTCAAAACCAACAAACAGCTGTCGACACACGTGTTTGTTGTGTACGCCAACCAGAACTAGAATAAATGTGTACACCAAAACTCGCACGACTACTAGTTAATTTGCGATATCAAATCGGTCTTCATCTTCGCCCGTCAAGTTTCCCATCTACTCTCACCACGCACAACAGTAGACCTCACGACAGTCTCTCACCAGCCTCCTCCATCTACAGTAACTCCCGCGGGCACCCACAAGGTATATTTGGTTCCCTTATCTTGCAATGCCCTCCTGCAAGAACAAACCGCGACATACCACAACGGATGGTTCATCTCTTGCTGTGGGGTGTTAGGTTCCGTCCAGGTCCAAACCCTCGCCGTCAAACGTACATCCAAGTTTAACAGACCCACCTCTTCTTGTTTGCCCGCCTCACAACACGTGACAACAATCTTGTAGCGCAACAATCGCACAGAGCAGTTGGAAGTGCGGAAAAAGCTAAAGTGCTACTAAACGTTATTCGGGATGATTGCAAACGCGAAAGATAAAACGCAGGGACCCGAAGCAACCCCACACAAACCGTCAGTTGCGTCTGAATAAAGCAGAGCGCGAGAGAGAAAGACGGAGAGCGGGCGAGGCAAGCAAATGACACATATTGCAATATATTTGACAAACCCGGAACGCGTAAAAGCAAAGGCAGACAGACTCCCGCTGTAGAACCAAGTTCCCGAAAGCAGGTGACATGGATGCTACCTTACGCTGGCCTTCAAGCGGTGCGAGGCACCCTGATACCCGACACCGACCCCGCGAGCCCCGAGAAACACCGAATGGGAGACAGGAAAAAAAACACCGCAAGAACAACTCATTCTTCCCATCCAACCAAAAACACGGACCACTAGTAAAATTACGCAGAACAAATAAACCAAGAGAAGCTGTGAAGCTCTTTGCCCTCTGGAAAGAGACGTTTCCCCCGGAAAACTCGGCCCTTTGTCTCGAAACCACCCGACATATTGATAACCTTGCAGGCAGTCTTCCCACTCCTCACTGCCCACAGACGCCAGCGATGCCGTGATCCACACGCCCACCCAGACTTAATATGATTCTTCCAAAAACCACCAATCCTTGCTACGTTCTCTGGTGCGAGATCATAGGTAACACCTCGGCCTTCCTGGAAACACAACCAGACAACCTGCTCACTGTCGGTGGCTATCACATTCCAACAAGCAGAGACAATATGTTGTAAACAGCACGCCGCTCATTGCCAAGGACGGGCCACAACCAAATGCACCAATGATCGCAAGCGAACAAACCCAACTCACCACACCACGCACTCGTTTGATTTCGATCAACAACCGCCGTCTGTGAAGTCATAGATCCGGGGTGTAAACCCGTTGGGAAGCGTCTCGTCCATGCCTGTTGTGCGCAGCCGCTCCATCATGTCGTTGTACACCTTCATCATGTGGGCGGCTTCCTGCATCTCGAACGCCGAGGGCGGCGGGAGGGTGTCATTTGGGCCCTCCTCGACGAAGTACCCCCCACCCGGCAGCCGGCTCTCTTCCGGAAATTGCGCAGGCTTCGCCTGCTGGGCCGTCCGATAGCCCCGTCGACCACGGTGCCCGTATCTCGCCGGAAAGAAAGGGGAAGTACCTGCACTCAGCGCGCGGTTCCGCCGCGACCGCTCCTCCAAAGAAATCTTCGTAGAACAGTTTCCGAAACCTCCACCGCCGCCCTGCCTCGCGGAGTTCTGTCCCAGGCCGCCTGTCGGGTTGCTCGTCAGTGCTGCCGTGGCCAGGGTCCCCGCTGCAGCCGCGGCCGCCTTCGGAATATCAGTGGGGGTCGTACTCGCTCCGGTGGGGGGGCAAGTAGCAGGTTTCATTCCGCCTCCTGCGGCGGTTCCCGCCAAAGGATGCGCTACATCACGAAGGTGGTCGCCGTCAAAACCGGGCGGCGCTCCGGTCGGGGTGCAAGATGCACGTTTCGTTGTGCCTTCTTCTACGTTTGCCGCGGAAGGATGTGCTTCATCACAGAGGCGATCGCCGCCAAACCCCGGTGGCAGCCACTGAAAGGCTTGCGCTTGCGTCGGCGTAGCAGCAGCAGGCAGGGACGTGGCTTCAACCATCGCCGCCGAGGATTCTTCTGTGACCGTGATGGCCAGCTTAGGCGGCGGCGGCGGGCGGTTAGGCCCTTCGCTCAACACTCCACCCGCACCAGCACCGTCGCCATCATCGCCGGCAGCGTGTCCCGCAGGATTGGGAGCACCGGCACCACCAGTCCCCTTCTCGTCCGCACCTCCTCGACCCTCTCTTACTGCGTGCGTCCATCCACTGGAGGCCAACCCCGGCATCGAGGAGACGCGCGCGACGCCACCCTCGTCCGACGAAGACAAAGAAGTAGGGCCTGTCGCGCTGTCTACGTTGCCCGTGGTGACCGTTTCGAGCGTAGTTCGGTTCCTGAACGAGGTGCTAGGAGAGGCTGCCGTGGTAGCCTCGGCTACGCCGCCGCCGCCGCCGCCACTGCCACTGCCACCGCCATTGCTGCTTCCTGCACCCGCCTCGTGCACATCCACGTGCGAGCCGGCAGTAACCACCTCGGAAGTAACTACCACCGGATGGCGTTGCTTGGTGGAGGAACGGTCGGCCTCCGCTGGAGGAGAAACCTGCATTTTTGCCGAAGGCTTCAGCATCGACTCCTCCGCTAGAGACGCCGCTGCCGCTCCACTCTTTGCTGCCGCCGCCGCTTTCCGCATGGCCGCCTTGCGCTCGGCAGCCTTGGCCTTCTTTTTCTGCTTCTTATTCAAGGTATTGGTGCTGGCGGCCCCGAAGTTAGAGGCTCTGGTAGACGATGTCGACCCTACGGACGCTACGTCTGACGGGTTGGAGGCAGAAACGTTTGCCCAAGAGCGACCACCCTCCACGACGTCCGTGCTCAGAGACGAACAAGCCGATTCATGGGTACCTACATTGGCCTTCCCACCGCCGCCGTTCCCGCTCCCGACAGACTGGACGCCTGTTGCCGCTGCCTGACCAAGCACCGAGTGAGGCCGGGGCAGACCCTCTTTGTCCACTGCCACTGGTGCTTCACTGGTCGCCAGAGCACCCCGACACATGTCAGCGGTAGAACGTCCTTTTGGCGAGAAAGAGGGACAGTCGTCTTCGGAGACAAAAGGGCGAGAGCGACAGGTGTCCGTGCGGCTCGATACGCGCCCAGGGGGAACCCTTCCCGCCGTCGTCGTCGTTGCTCCAGCGGGCGGCAACACCGCGGGGGTCTCTATCGATTCAGGTCCACCGCAAGCTGACAGGCTCTCGCCGCCGACACCGGCCAGCTCGTGCTCCTCGCTGTCGACGACGATCGTACTCGGTCGGGCGGAAACAGGCCCGCCGACTGAGCCACCGCCCGTGGCTGGATCATCCGCCCGCGGCCCAAACGACGCGGTCCGCTCCCCTTCCCCACCACGACCCTTCAGTATCCTCTGCGGCGGACGAGGTTGGGCAAACACCGTGGCTGGAGGGTTGCCCCAACGCCCAGACACGCTCGTTCCGTGGGACTGGTTCGTTCGGGACCACCCACTGTCGAGCGCACTAGCTCGAGGTAGGTTCCCTGCAGACGTGGAACCACCGTACTGTTGTGAATAAGAGGCGGCGCCCTTCGTGTCGCTCCGCCAAGCGCCCATACTAGAATCCCCCCGACCAGTTGCCGCCGCCGCCCGTGCAGCACCCGCAGGACCTGAAGCGGCTTGTGGTTTATGTTTCTCCTCCTCTCCGGCGCCAGCTGCTGCTAGGACTGGAGGCGTAAGTGCCCTCGGTGCGGCGTCGCCCGAGGTCTCACCGCTCAAGTCCCCGCGCACCAGCTTCCCTTTCTTCTGCTTTCCAACCTCCACTGTGCGCTGGGGACCTTGGTGCTGCTGCTGGTGCCGCGGTGGTGGTGGCGGTGTCGGCGCTGGGGTCACCGATGAGGTATCTCTATCAATAGAGTCGAGATTCCTGCTGTCGGACTTTTTGCGGGTCTTGCATGCTCCTATCTGAGCTGGTCGCGCCGATGTTGATTCGACATCCCCGGGCGCAACCTCAGGATTCCCGAAAGAAGTCGGCTTGTCGGTTATCGCAGATCCGGCCGAGGCAGCAGCAGCCTCCGAGCCGTCAGTCTCCGCGTCAGCAGCATTCACAGAAATACCAACACCACGCGAAGCGCTTGTCGGCGGCCGGACCCTGTTGAGAGACGAACCCATCAGCACAACGTTATCATCATCCCCCGTCGCCCCCTGTGAACTGGCTGTTGCGCATGCGCTCTGGTCCCGACGCAGGTGTGTCGAAGCTCGAGATACGCTGGAGGTACCGGTGTCTCGGGGAATCGCCGATGCCGCGGCAGCTTGGTCCCCACCGGTCGATTCGGCCACCGCTCCACGGCGTGGCTCCGCAGCCGCTGCCTTAGCCTCCTTCCTGTTCGCTTCTTGCGCCGAAGCCACGGCAAGGGCAGCTGCGGCCGTGTTGCGCTTGAGCCGCCGAGACTTTTTCTTCATTTGAGCTCTCTGGTGCACGAAACCGCCCTGGCCGTCATCCCAGTCTACCGGTGCAGACCCCAAAGAAAACCTACCACCCGCCGCCGCACCCGCTGCAGCCGAGCTATTCTCTAACTCGTGCCCGCCCTCGATTGGCTTCGACGAAGACGCATCAGTAGCACACCCAACCTGGGGCTCGTCGCTTTCCGTCGCAGTTGCGGCCGGACCAGACAAGACAGCTGAGTTCTCCTCGTCCGACGACGCAGCTGCCGCAGAGTCGCAACGTCTACTCTCTTCAGAAGCACCTACTACGTCTGACGACAGCGGCCATGCGTCGCCCTCTCGAGAGACCTCCAACTCGCTTGTCGACGCCCTCATCACGTCTTCAGAGCCTCCGCCTTCGCTAGACGACAGCGGCAGCCTCACTACGACGGAAACCCCTCTGCTTGCGTCGCCCCGGTAGGAAATCCTATAATCCCCGTAGCGCCCTAGCATGAAGTAGCACTTGTTCAAGATTCCAGGGCCGAGGCGAGCTGACTTGACGTTGGGATCGTCCTCGTCCTCCCCAGCATCGTCCTCGGCGCCCTCATTGCCCCTGATCGCGCCATGTCCGATGGAAACGTCCCCCAACCCTCCCACCACACTTCGAGACCCCACCTCCTTGCTGCTTTTTCCTTCTCTGCCGACGAGGCGCCTGCACACGACCTCCCGCGTCACTCGCTGTTGCGAATCAAGGTCACACATGACGCAGGCACCGAGCCCGGGGGCGAAACCGACCTCCAGCGCCGCCGGCTCGAACCCTCTCCGGTGGGACACGTTCACCACGTGCACACCGTGCAGCGCGGAGTGCTCGGCGAGCTCGTCCAGGGTCAGGCCATCGCCTCCCTGCTTGACCCGTATCGGCGGCAACAGCGGTAGCGGCGATGGTGCTGTCGGCACACCGGCCGACGCCTCGGCGCCGCGGGCGACGTCCGCCACGGGGATAGATTCATCTTCCTCTGCGTGGATCAGCGATTCCGTTGTTGACGCTGATGCGGCATTGCCCGCAAGCGTGGCAGCGGTGGAAGTAGTGGAAGCAGGAACGGCACCCGACTTCTCCTTGCCCTTGTTCTTCTTTGAGCGGGGATAAGACGTGAGGACCTCACCCCCCCCTGTGCTGTTGGCCTCCGCGCTACTGGAACGTTCGGCGTTCTGTCTGCTGCCCGCCCTCGATCGCCCGTCTTTATCTCTTTTCTCAGGCGCCGGCGGGTGGAGCCTCGCCACTGAAGAAGAATCTGATTGCAGCGGCTCATCGGGGCGTTCGGTCACCGTAACCTTCAGCCGTTTGCTAGAATGGTTGTCGACCAGAGTGTACACCCCGGGTTTCTGCAGCACGGCCACAAGAGGCCCCCCAGAATCATTCGTCCTCTTTACCGGGATTTGCCTAGCGTGTCTGTCAGGGGAGTGCAGTGTCTAGTCGTAGGGGACGGGGCGAGGTCGGTGGGCGCGGAGAAGAAAAAGACGGACAAGTGGGGGGCGATGAGTCAAAGCACGGTAAGAAAGAAAACCCTGCAGCGAAAAGGGGTGTACGTCGTGTTGAGGTGGGTGACACTCAAGACGCACGGCCAGAATCTTACTTGGAACAAACTTTGATGGGAAGCGACGGCGAACAGGTTAAAAAAACTGGGAAAACACCACCACAACCGTACAGGTCGCGTGCCGGTTCTCACGGTCTAATGGTTGCATCGGCGTAGTCTACATCTTCGAAGGCTGATGCGGCCTAGTGGTTGCTTCAAAAATCTGGTGAACAACGCGCCGCGATGCATCGTTCACGTGCTTTCCGAGACGATGCACGCGATACGAACGGATCTTTTTCGTCAGCACCGTAACCCATGGAGACCAAATCAAAAGCACGCACGCGCCGGTGTAATAAGATATGTGCTTGACAACGCCTAACCTATCCTTGATTCTCTTATTTTCTTGTAATGAGCTGGCGATCATCGCAACTTTTCTGAAACACCAACCTTCGTTGTGCGAACAATGTGCAGACCGATCGACAGCACTCGCTCCTGTCCGCCGCCGCCGTAGGGCCAAACGCTAGCCGCCTTGATGAACACGGCAGCCCCCGCTGGCACCACCATAGGCTTCGAAGGCGTGAAGCCCTGCCCCCCCACGATGAGCGTCTTGCCCTGCGACTTCCCGCCCCCCCCCTTCATACCCGCCACGCGATCGGGGTACCGAGACAAGAACTCAAGCTCGTTGATCAAAAGCGCCGGGTCATCCTCGATGCCCCCTTCAACCTTCGATGCATCGAACCCACAATCCCGGTGCACGCTCAAGCCCTTGCTCCCGGTTCCACCTGTACCTCCATCGACGCCCCCTTTTTCGACCCCGCCTCTACTGTCGGAGCTGCCGCCAGCGTCACCGCCTGCACGCCTTTTCTTCTTCTTTTTCGATTTCTTCTTCTTGGTCTTTGAAGAACTGGCTTCTGGCGCGTCACCAACCCATTCACTGCCGTCAGATCGTCCAGACTCAACTACACTCACCCCACAGGAGTGGGTGGCCCTGGTGTCGTCTAAGTCCGTGTTATCCAGGCTGCGGTAGTTGTCGCTCTTGCGGCCGCCACCTCTTCCGTCTAAATCATGTGTCTCGTCGCCGCTGTCTGCTTTGGAGTGAGCACCCAACAAAGCCGCCGAGGTTCGGGAGACCCCCACCATGGAGGGAGCGAGACGGCCCATTACGGGCTTTCCTGCCCCGCCGTGAGTCGCGGCAGTATCAGCAAGGATGGCCACATCGTGGAAGTCGTCATCGGGAAGGGTGGAGGTGGCGTTGTCGGCGGATTCGAAGCTGTCTGAATCACTACGGCTCTGAGTGCTTGTGTTTTCCACGACGATCTCGCCCCTCTTGCTGTCGTCTTCGGATGGGAGGGTGATGCTGGACACGACGAACGTCCCCGCGTGCTGGAAAGTGTGGGTGAACCGGGACTGTGAGGCGCTGAGGGAAAACGAGCACTCCGTCACCCACCCATTTTTAATAATCGGACACCCGTTTCGCACGTGAAAGGTCTCGGACACAGAGCCAGTACCGCCGCCAAGTACCCACTGCACCCTGGCCCCGACACGAACCTTGGCTGTCTCGGGAATGAAGTATTTTTTGGTGGGGTCGTCACCGACCATTCGGATTACGGTCACCGCACCATCATCGTCGTCGTCGCACGATTTGCCTCTCGAGCAGGTACCATGTGTTTCGCTCGCGCTCGCCTTGGGAACCTCCGATCCACAGCGCTCACCCCCGCCGTCACTGCTGTCCGGGCACGTAGCGGCATCTGATGAAGAAACCTGCCGCAAGCAGGAGGAATCCTCGTGGGGAGGAGACTCCTGGCCGCTACCCGTCTCGCCCTTCGTCGCCTCGTGGACGAACCTGGAGGGCAGCGTATCGTTGCTGGCATCTGCCCTCGGTTCACCATCTCCCGCGTCCATATTTGTTGGCCCTGGAGGCGAAACAGTTTGCGGCGCCGTGACGGAGTCGTTCTCGCCCTCGGATGCGCGCATCACGTCTCCCGCCCTCTCGGCCGATTGGTCATTGTCATCTGCCCCGAGCGAGGCCGTCGCTACCGTCGCGGGTGCTCCTTTCACGACCGAACGTGGATCCAGGTCCTCCTCCTTCTCCCCATCGTCGACTCCTGTTTGTGTACGTTCATTCGCAAGGTATGGTTACGCGGTCGTTCCATCCCCAAAATTGAATACTTACACCACACCATCAGAAGGGGTCGTCAGTGCGGCGCGAGGCCAGTCTTTTGCCTCAAACGCCAAGTTGCGGCATTAGTGGCTCCTCGCGAGCCAATGTTCAAGCGCTACAAATATACACAAGTTGATCACAAGCACAATATCACAGACACTGCTGCGATACTCTTGAGGGTTCGTGATGAACCGATTGCGACAAATACTATCTCGATTTTGGTATCACCTACGCAATCACAGTTTGCAGGCACTTCGTGGGGGGGGGGGTACGGGTGTACTCATAGTCGTGCATGCCGTAGTCGTTAGACCATTGATCTCGCATCCCTACAGCGCCGGGACGGAGCACGTTGGGTTCTCACCAGACCAGGCTCACATCATCAGCTGCGTATGACTTCATTTATTTTCTGGTGCATTCACTTCCAGAGACAGTAATAAGCATTGTGTAACTGCCTCCAGGGTGCTTGACCAATTTAACACAACGTGGTGCGATCATCCCCTGCGCGGAGTGAGGGTTATCGACTCGCACAACATCATCTACTCAACCACCGTTCAACCACCATTCATGGTTTCCGCAAGAAAAAAAAAAAGGCAGAAAGAAAGCGATTACCTGGTTGCCGAGCTCACGAAGTGATCGGCTTGTTTTACAACATCGCTGCCAAGCGACGGAAACCCAACCCCGATGGCAAACACCGGGGGGATTTGGGCGGAAATTGGAACATATTCGCTTCCTTCTTTTTCACACGTAGCACGTCCGTTCCTAGAGATCTGGTTCTTGATGCAGAGTGTTTTTCACATATATTGATGGCAGCACTTCGCGGCGTCTGGGCAGGATCTCGGAGGATATGAAATAGTACATTATTGTTTCACACGAGAGCCGCCGGGTGTGCGAAAGCGTTGCGTTTGACTCAGCGGGAACAATACTAAATAATGATTGAACAAAAATGGCACGTGATGAAGCGAATGCCTCGGAAGTTCATTGAAAACAGAGCGCCACGAAAACACTTGGAACCCAACCCGTGGCGCCCCCTTCCAACCGGAAAACTGCTTTCTTTGTCGCTATTCCGTAACGTTCAAAGTGACAAAATAACGCTCGCTTCATTCTAGGGTACAGGGATATGTATTCATCCATAAACCACTTGTTACACACGCAGATGTCCCTCCCTCAGTATCCCCGGCCGTCTGTTGTCGGCTGGGTACGGCAACTCTCAAATGCGGCTTCGTACCCGAGCAAAGGGTAAATATGAACACATGAACAAACGTAGAACGCCCGGTGCCCAAACAGTGTTTCTCGTTCACACCCCGTGCTCTTTCCTCGATCAACCATGGTCAAAGTGAGGTCTAACTCGTAGCGATACCCCTCGTGTTGTACGCAGCAGCTGGTTGTACGGAAGGGTGCTACCTTGTTTCTCTAGGCGATGCGTTCAACTTGGTCAACAAGTATCCTTCATCGCAACCATGCACACGGTAAGCATGGAGTATCGTGCATTTTTCGTACGTTTATCATTCAGAGTCGTGACCGTGCCTGTTCTCGCCAAAAGGCAAACGGGTGATATTCCGCTGTAAGTGTCCAGTTGGGCCACGCCGTAGACGACGATACTGCTTACACCCACCTCGCATTGTGCTTCAAAAACCAACAAGGTCTCTCTGCCTCACCTCCAACAACCGCGACCATGTCCACCTGTTGTTCTCCCTCCGTCGCAAGACCGGTATCAACTGTGCATGACGAAACCACAGCAGCAGCGTTATCATCCGAGCAGGCAAATGCAACTCGGTCGTCTCTGCTCGGTTCTCGCTCTACCGCTGGAGACGTCAACGGACTCATTCCATCTGGCCAGTCGCGCCGCGTCAGCACATTGTCCACCAGTGACAGTTCCATCCTACGGCTCCTCATCGTAACGGGCTCGATTTGGAGGGAAGACGAAACCTGCGGGGCCTCTGCCTTCAGAACCACCCCGGCAAGACACGGAGACTCGCCGCCGCCATCACCACTAACGCCGCCCCCGCCGCTGCCAAACCCGTCTGTAGCGGCAAGCGATGAAGTTGGAGGCTCCGAGGACAGCGCCACCGGTGAGCGCGGTGGGGCCTCCTCGGATGCTCCTCCCCTCACACTCCCACTCGTCAATGCAGTCCCATCGTCGCTATCGATGCGGCTATTGTCGCTAAGATCGCCGTCCGGATCGTCGTCTGAGTCAACGTCACGGTAGTCACCGATGCCACCACCACTGAAGCGTTCGAGCACCAGCTCCGGGCACTTCGACGGCTCAGAGGCTGGGGACAATAGGTCGGGAGACAGGAGAGCAGACCTCAGGCCTTTCGAGGTCTCTTTGGCGATCACCACCGTCGCTGCTGCTGCTACTGCTGCTGTTGCCTCCGGACGCGGTTCTTCCACTTCAGTCACAGGAGTTCCTTTTCCCCGCGATGGCGTATCGGGCTCTATTTTATCCGCCGAATGAGAAGCTGTGTCGGCCAACTCGTCTCCCCTCTTGCAACCGCCCGAGACGCCAGATGTGGCCGGTATATCCGTGCTCAGCGTCAAAATTTCGCCTGCCTCGTTGCTGCCTGAGCCGATGTCAAGGGCATCATCCAGAACCTCCTGGTCTACGTCGCCGCCGGCACAGCAGTAGTCCCCAGAGCCTGACACGTCACCACCATCACGCTTGCTGTCCTCATTTTCGGAGTGTTCGCCTCCCTCGATCTCTTTCTCCTTCCCCACTTCCTCGATCACCTCCATCGCCTCATTTTCAGCTTCACCTTTTGCGTCGGATGCGGCCGTAGGCCCACCCTCGCCCACATGGACAAAGGTTTGGAGGGGACTTTCTCTTCCTTCACAGGGTTCTTCCGGAGACCTGCCAGCATTCGCACTGGCGAATGACTCTTCTTGCTTTCGTCGCCGTGGCGTCTGCTCGCCGCTCTCCGTGTCGAGAGATAGCGGAGGCACGATCGGAAACGGAGAGGCGAGCGACGACCGATTTCGCCCGTGAACACGTGCCGAAACCGTCACCGTCTCATCACCACAGACGCCAGCATCACCACCACAGTCGGTTGATACCGCTACCGACGGACAGCCCAGCGGGACCAGGCGGACCGACAACGGCGTAGGGGGGCCTGCTGCGACTTCCCCTTGCACAGGTGTCTCGTCGAGGTGCTCCGCCAGCTCTATTGCTGCTTCTGCGCCCCGACAGGGTGCCACGAACTGCGACGGTGGCGCAGACGCCGGCTCCTCACCTTCGATAAGGCAGGGTTGTGATTCACCGGGGTGACCATGGTTCAACCCGTCTACGGCCAAGTCTTCTCTGTCTTCCTGCTGCTGCAGCTGCTGCATGTGGTTTCCTCGCTGGACTTGAGTAGTAGGAGCCGACGACCCCGCGGCATCGTCCCTGTGGCCCCTCGCCTGTTTACACAAAGTTGATTTTCGTTAGAGGGATGCTTAGAGCCTAGGTCGATCGCCACCATGCAAGGTGAACTCCAACCACCACACCAGGAAAGCATACCCGCCGTCGAGTGATAGACCCCAACGCAAACCTCCATTGTCGAAACACGAACAAGGCGAATGACTCTCAAGACTTTCCACAACGTTACATTTTTTTCGGTATCGATACATTAATTACAACTTGGAGCTTGCTGGTTACCTTTACACTACGAACGACGATTGTAAAACGGAGCATTGCACGTACCGTGTAGCTTTCCCTCCCGCGTTTCCCGGGTTGCGTACGGACCTCGCGAGGACTAGCAGCAGTAGGGTCGTTGTCGATGACATCATCATCAAACGTCATCGCTTCTCCACCTCCTCCTGACACGATTACGCGCCCCATCGTCATCGGGCCAGAGCCTACAACGAACCTACAGTGCCCCGGTCGGTCAAAGGTTTCTTCGTAGCTACCGTCGTCGCACGTTAAGATCTGCTTCATCAAGGGGGGGTCGTCGGTGCTGTCCGGGATGAAGAGCAAGAAAAAACTTCTGTCGGTCTTGTTTTGGTCGGTGTTGTCGCACACCGCATTGTTCGCGCTGCGTCCGTCTACCTCGGTTTGGTCTTCTCCCCGCCCGCTGCTTCCCTCTTGCTGCTCAAGGTGCTGCTGCTGCTGTCCGACGTTGGTTTTGATCGTCCACCGCACGAGGGGACCGATAGCCTCCACCGCGAAGTCGACCCCGCCGCGTATCGAAAGGATATCTGCGTCAACCTTCACATCCACGCTCTGTTGCCTTGTCGCCCCATTGCTACCATCGACACCAACACCGGCATCCTTGGCGGCGGCCGAAGAGGAGGAACAATGGCGGCGGCCGCGGACTCGACCGCGGATCTCGTGCGAGGTTGCGCCGCCACTTGTGCTTGCGGCGCTGGCAGCAGTAGGTGACCGGCCGCACCTGTTGCTGCCCGAGGAGTCAGGGGAGGAGGGCGTAGTTGAGAGGTCGTACCCGTTGCCCTCTTCCGTGGCAACAGTCGAATGCGGGGCCGAGAGGCGACGCGGGTTCGAAGAAGGGGAACGGGAACGGGAGAGAGACGTCGAAAGGCGCCGCTGACATTCCTGCTCCGGTTGATGTTCCACTTGTGGATCTTGCCCGGCCCCCGGAGAGTTTGGATCGGTCTCCGTTGCTGGCAGTGATGTTGTAGCCTCGGTTTCTGCTGCTATTGATGCCGCTGCCTTTCTGCCGCGCAAGGAGGCCATGGTGATATAACCTGGCGGCCCTCCAGGCGTTTCGGCCAAGTACACACAGAGCTTGGTCTCCTGAGTTACGGCGGTGGAAGCGCGAGGAATGAAACAAAAGCGCAGTCAGCGGTTGAAACTGCGGCTGTTGCTGGCCGTTTTTAATTGAAGAATATCAGGATTTGGGATCAAAGATGGATTCTTCGAAAGAGAGAAGACAATTCATAATGTTGTCTTCAACGACGAGTGTCAGGACCACAACGAAAAGGCCCCGCTGTTCCCTGTCACCGCAGCTGCAGGTAGTTGTGGATCTCCCAAGGGATACTTCTCACCTGCTGGGCCAACTTTATAGTGCCGTCTTGATCTGATTGTATACACGCACAGTGTCGTTTTTACACACGGCAGTTTGCAATGTATCCAATCGAAAAAACAACAGCGCGGGGGTGATACGGACCAGGCTGTCTTGCACAGGAAAAATGTAGGGAGTGCTGGAAGCTTTAGCATAAGAACTATAGGAGAAGAACAAACCAAAGACCACAGCCGGACAGCGTACTTGTTGCCGTCACATGTATTATTTTTGTTACTTTTACTCAGTTCATTGTTTGCCAAGTACAGAATATTGTTTCACTCAAGACAACACATCCACAACGATATCACTACCCACAACCGTCCACACCCGGTGAACATAAAATACTCTCAGACCAATTAAGGTCACCGAAGACGTAAGGTCACCAAAGACACCATCCCCACCGCAGAATGTCACGCCCTGTGATAACGACTTAAGAAGACCAAAATGTGCACACAGGCAGATTTGGAATAGCTCATCCCCCACCCACTTGCCACAACGTAGCAGAAGCGGATGGGATAGTCAACGAGTTCATGAAGTTTGGGGGGAAGGGGATGATCCAGCTGATGGTACTGCAATACAATTGGGTGTGGGAAAACGAGTATACGCAAAGTAGGTGGAGGGAATGAGTGGTTGTGAACTTGTTTAAGAAAGGAGACAAGACTGACCCAGGAAACTACAGGGGGATCACACTGTTGAACACAGTAGGAAAAGTGTTCTGTAAGCTGTTGAACGATAGGATAGTGGGAGTATTGGAGAAGGAACATAGCAATAGTGAGGGCCAGGCAGGTTTCCGCAAGAAGAGGGGGTGCGTAGACCACGTATTCACGGTAGGGAGAATCATCCAAGGTAGAAAGAGGGCGGGAAAGCCGACGTACTGCTTCTTCCTGGACGTGAATAAGGCATACGACACCGTATGGAGAAATGGGTTGTGGAAACAACTGTCCATATACGAGATCAAGGGGAAAATGTGGAGAGTGCTGAAG